CCAAATTCTCTGCTCAAATATAATTGGCTTAACACTTTAGGTTGTATTCTTTTGTTACCAGTTTGTGATGTAATTGTTACAGGTCCGATATGTGGATCAGGGACTTGTGGAGAGCATCCCGGTTTGTCACGTGTACCCAGTGGTTCTCTGTGAGGATGTGCCGCAGCTCTGTGTGCCTTGTCAGATAAATGGAGTCATACCGGTACGTGTGTGTGGTAATTTTGAATTTGATCACTTGGAATGTAAACTGGGCAATGTGATCAATTTCGCAGCAGTGCGTCCTTTAAACCAGGGATTCCCTGCATTCTTTGAATGTGATTTTAAGTAGTCTGGTTTTCAGCAAATCATCAGGCTTTAACTGTTTTAGATCGGGAAGGGATGGCAGTGGGATGCTGTGGTGCTTATGAAGGAGTTGCTACTTGGGCGTTCAGTCAATGTCTGCATAATGGTAAAGTAAATTTACATGCACTTATTTACATCTACACCACTTCATGTATCAACAGAACTGTATTAATCAATTGTAGGTCAAATCATCATGTGTTGACAAGCAGTCAGCTATCTCCCAGTAAACCTGTTGTTTTGCAGGAACAACCAGAGGATCCACGTGACTGTGTTACGGTAGAGATAATGGTGGATGGCATGGCACTTAGCAAGATAATGGTGCACCACCAATATGCCACTTTTGACTCTGCCATCAGCAGCCAAGAGGTCTGATCAGTGGAGATTAGCGGGATTGTTTTGCTTGTGTGAGGTATAGATATTGACAGTTTTTCTTTCCAGGATTATGTGGTTAAGCCTCCTACCCTTGATTTGGATGACTGGGACCTAAACACAGAGGTAGAAGTTTAATTTCTGGTGACGTTGTACAATTCCTCATTTTCTGCTGAAATAAATTTCATAGCTTACTTTCTTTGCTTACTAAAATTTCAGAGCTGGTTTAGTAGCAGGGTGTTGTGTTTTTAGGGATTGGAGGAGCCCCAGCTTGTTTTAGGAGTCTATAAAGAACTCCAGATTCCTAAAGGAATAAAACATTTCCCTGCCAGGGTCAAGCATATCCGCACCCCTAATGAGGTATGTGAGCTTATGGGTCTGTTTTCAAACCTTCCGTCACATGTTTATATCTGGCCTTATTCATCAGACATTCATTTTTGTAGAAAAAAAACACCTTATGAATTTATCATCTCATAGAGTTGGTCTTAAATTTGAAGTGCAGCACCAGTATTAGAAGAATCAGTAACATTAGAGAAAATTTGCTGGCATAAATTGTCCTGCACAGCTTACATAGAGGGGGCTTTCTGTTGGTCAATGTGGCAAATCTGTGACCAACTTGAACCTGTTGTGAAATTAGCATGGGAAAATCTTTCAGCCTCACATGAAATTCCAGATCAAATAGATTCCTATTGAGCTGCAGTACAGCTGTAAATATGACTGCTAAATTATAGTCACTTACTTTACATTGCTTTCATTGAATCTGATGTGTGCTTGCAGGTGTTCCTGTGTGTGTTGGAAAAGACTCTGAGAAAACTGGAGCAGGAAGTTAGTTTGGAGGAAGCTCTCGAGCGTGTGAATAACAGTGTTGAAAACCTGAGCATGCTGACAGACTTCCCCATTGGTACTTGTGTTTGATCACATTGAAATTAATCATAACCAATTGACAAAGACTTCAGTGGTACTGTGTGTGTTACACATGCCTTACATTGCCTTCTGTATAAGTTAATTTGAGAAAATCTTGTTTTTTTATGCCTCGCCTGTGGCCCATTGGAATAGGCTCCAGCAGAAAAGCGATTTGTTGAGTGGATGTCTTTCATTGTGTGTTTTTGTGCAGAGTGTCCCTGTCTGGCCGAATACAGTGATGGTAAATATTATCGTGCAAAGCTACTGGGCTTTTCTGAAGTCACTCCCTCTGTCAAGCTCCTTGTGAGACATGTGGATTTTGGCTCGGATGACATTTTACCAGTAAACAAGTAAGACTGTATATTTTACAGTAACACTTTACAATAAGGTCCATTAGTTAACATTAGATAATGCATTAACTAACAAGAGCTAACCACGAGAAATAGATTTGTTGCAGTATTTATTTATCTTTGTTAATGTAAGTTAATACAAATACAGCTATTCATTGTTTCTTCATGTTAGTTCACAGTGCTTTAACTAAAGTAAAAAAATACAACCTTTGATTTTAACAACGTATTGGTAAATGTTGATATTAATGTGAACTAAGATTAAATAATGATGAAGAAGTATTGTTTATTCTTAGTTCATGTTTACTAAGGTAGTTAACTAATGTTAACTAATGAACCTTGTTGTAAAATGTTACAGATTATACAATTATTGGCATTGCAATACTTTTTGCAGGCCATTTTTGTAAATGCATTAAGGCTTCATTCTTGTAGAAATGAAATATTTGAATTCACTTTGCATCAAATCAGTAGTTATCAACCTTTTTATCCAAAACCATATTCGAAGGACCCCCCAAATATTACTATCACTTTTGCTGTAATAGAAAAATCTCATCTTCAAAGTGAAACTTGGAGTGGATTTATATTGAAATAAAATTAATTACTACAGTTACATTTCATAATCACAGAAGTTTAAACAACTGATGCTCTTCAGGATGTACTTTTTATTGCCAATGAAATTGCATTACTTTTCTAGGTGTTCATTATAACATATATTTTTTTGAATGATTTCTTGCTTACAAATAGCAATTTCTACTCTACAATTGCAATTACAAATGCCCTTGGCTTTTTCCAGTTCTAGAAATTACACTTTAAATTTTTTTATAGGTATTTAACTACATTTTTGTCAATTTAGCTATCTTTGTTTTGTCTTGTTCAATCATTTAGCCCCCGGTTGAGAACCACTGCATTAAAAGAACTAATTTATCACAACCCTATTGAGAATCAAATAACACATCAAAAAACACGTGTTGTCACTGCAGATTGCGGCAGCTCCCTGCATCCCTCCATCATTATCCCTGTGCAGCTGTTCACGTCAAGTTAGCAGGCTTCAAACCAGCAAACGTGAGCTTGGAGATGGAGCGGATACCTTATCGGCCTGAGTGGACTATGAAAGCAATGCTGGAGATGATCGACCTGTTGAACGGAGAGCTCACTGCGGTGGTCACTGTACGCCTCGTTCATAGTTGCAGAAAAGTGTCCCCTTTTACACCTGGCATAACATGCATTTTTGGTGACTGGATCATGATCTGATCGCTCTTAATCATGTTTAAATGTTGGATTTCACATTCAATGAAGGTGTAAATGAAAAGCTAAAGTTGAATTTAACTTGAGACATTTTAATGCAACTGTGTATTCTCATACTAATCAGAGTCAATCAAAGGTGTAAAAGGCGACAGAATTTTTATTTCATTGCGTTTTTGTCAATTTGGAGAGCAGTTGGAATGAATGTGTGTTAATCCATCCAAATGTGCAATTCAGGCAACGGAACCACAGCTGACCGTGTTGCTGTATAATGCAGATGGAACACTTGTCCACACACGTCTGGTGGAGAAAGGCCTTGCAGATTATGAATAAAGGTAAGTGTGAGATTAAATCAAATGGGAAAAAAAACAAACAAAAAAAACATTTATCTAAATGTGTGTATGTGTCATGTTTTATTTTCAGTTTCTATGGGTTGTGGCAGTGACTGAGGATTGTCAGCGTTAATAGCTTTTGAAGGCCAAACTTTTTATGTTGGTGTAATAGTTTCATTTTATGTTACAGCATTCGGGGGTTTATGCTACTTTGTGCAGTTGTTAATATATTTGGCCAGTTTTATGTTTGTATTATATTCCGAATTTTATGTTAAATATTTGTATTCAAATGTAAGGCTGCTTAAAAGTAGCAGAAAGATTTTGTTGATTTTTTAGATCTCTGTTCAGCAGAGCTGAATAAATACTCTTGTTGACTTTTGCCGGTTCATAAGTCTTGTTGTCACTTATTGGCCTCACAAGTGTTTGTACTAAATCATAACTGACGGTCAACAAATGACTAAATTGTCCTATTGATGCACTTTTATCTTCAGACCACTGCCAGAAGCATCCTGAAGAAATTTTCACTTTACATTATCTTAAATCATTGGCCTTTAAGGTACACTGTAACTTTTTCTTAAAAATTAATAAGACTTGAAATTAATACAACAATCCTTCCAAAATGTGTTTTTGTCCTACCCCGATTTACTATGAATCAGGGTAAGCTTGTAAGAAATTGTTTACATACGACTCTTGCCCTTTGGCATCTCGTCATCTGTAAACAGCGAATAGCTATTCCGGCTACGTCGATGGATGTACTGAATGGTGTGGGAGTAGTCTAGTTTAGTTGTCACAATGAGCAGGAAAGGTTGACGTGGAGTAGCTAAATCTCAAACCTACAGGGAGTCACCCATTTAAAAAAAAAAAGGCTTAGCTATTCGTAGATGGCAGAAAGTCAGAGGGATTAAAGTTTTTTAAAAGGGGAGTGCTGTTTTTATCACTCAACAAGGGAGCAAGGTATTTTATTAAACAGATAAATTGCAATATGTAGCTTTCTAACACCATACTGTCTATATTAATGGGTATAGTTACTGTAATGTGTTCATCTAGTCAGCTTGAAATCCTTTCCTTGATCTAAACTGGTTATATCTCTTAAACCTATTAATGAATATTTTATGAGCAGTAGGACAACCATATTCAAGCAGAGCCAAAGCACAACCAAAACAATGTTCTTTTGCAAAATGCATTTTTTTTTTAATCGCCAGAGGGCCAAAAGTTGCAACGTGACCTAAAAATGGGTAGCTTTCAGTCAGGATTTTGCCCAGAAGCAGATATCCAGCATGCAAGCATGAATTACAGAGTGAGGTTATGAAGAAAAAAAATTATCAACACTGTAATTGCGTTTGCCAATAAAAGCCTTTAAAAACTTTAATGATCAGTTACACTGAAATTTATCATAATTTATTACAAATTACTACAGATAATGCTATTATTACAAATAATTTAAAAATATACTTTTCGCACACAAAACTCAACATAAAAAGATTTATTTCTTACAGAAATAAATACTCGACACATTTACAAAATGCACACATATTCTTTAACTTAAATTCATTCAAGGCCATGTTTTCCTTCCTTAAAACAGAGTATTGTGGATCATTCATGTCTTAGTGTCCATAATGACATGACCCTGTGCGTCTTTTAACCGCACACGTCCGGTTGGATATTGTGTCTCCTGCCGTCCATCTGAGTAAATGGTTTTAACCGTTCCATCTGGATATTCCCGTCTTTTAAAATCTAAGGTGTGGATCTCCCGCTGGCCAGTGTTAAACTGGATCACCTTACTACCATCCCTGAAAGAAAGCAGAATAAAAATGCTCCGACTTCAATACGTTAGGTGTCTCTTAATTATAACACTGAGGTGGAGGGCCATGAGTTGTACTCACGGATTCAGCTGTATTATTGTTCCATCTGTCAGTACACTTTCCTCTCTTCCATCAGGGTAAAGAGTCTTGACTGTCTGATCAGGGAAAGTGATTTCCTTGCGACCATCTGGAAAGTGTTTCTCTAAAATAGGCATGGGGAAGATTAAGACTTAAACTGTAGTCTGGAAATAATACCTCTAAATGTTAATTTTGAAAGAAATTAAGGCCCACCTGTTTGATTGTTAGGAAACTGAAGCACTTCCATCCCATCAGGGTAGGTGATGTGAGTGGTCTGAGCTTCAGCGTAGTAATAAATCTGAAAGAGAATGGCATTACTAATTGAAATGCTTTGCTGATTTTAAATTCAATTAGTTTTAATTGTTAACTGTCAAAACACCATTACACGAAAAAAAAACACCACAAATAGAGCATTTAAAATTGATGAATTGATGGAAGAACATGTTTTCACACATAAATTATTGATCATTACATGGTGTAAACTTCCTAATAAGAGATGGAAACAACACTCTTCAGAGTCCATGCCTCACCACTTTTTGATCAGGCATTGTATGTTTTACATCCCCGTTGAAAAACATAACTTTGACAGTCTGTCCGTCGGCAGAGAGCTCTTTTCTTGTGCCATTTGGAAAAACAACAAGTCGACCTCCATCAGGAAGAACCTTCTCAATCTGAAACATACATGAATATATATGATAGTTAGACCCCAACTTTCATTAGACATTGGGTATTTTTGTAACTTTAGAAATGTGACCATAATTTCTACACTTCCCTTTTGGAAGGGTGTGGTTCAGTTTTGTTTGAAATAGCATTACCTCAATGTCAGTACTATCTGAGGTTTGAAGTGGAGCTTAACAAGACATATTACCTTGTTGTCAGACTGCATGATCTCTTCCTGTTCCTCCTCTGACTGTCCGATGACAGCTGTGTTAATCAGTGGTGCATCATGGTTCCTCTGAGTCATAACCAGTCCACCTGTACACTGAGTTCCCACTGGACTGTGCTCCCTTTTGAAGCTGATACCCTCTTTCATTTGTTCAGGGAAAAAAGCTGTGGCAAAATGTGATTGATTATTTACAATGTTACATGGTAATCACACTAGGGCTGGGAATCAAAAATCAATTCCAATTCTACAATTGTATACTTATAAAATTAAAATTTTGATTTCTCTTATCGATTAATTTGTGTGCATTTTAATATGACTTTAAACCATTCGATGGGGTTTTCTGTACAACCCATACATCCAAAACATGCATAGAAAGCTGTTTAATAGTGCACGATACTGAACTGTGTCCATTTCTGCGTCTATTTGAATGGACAAATAAATACAGACAACAATATGTTGAAATATTCATAAACAGTCGGTTATGTCTGAAGTGAATGTAAACAGTTGACAAAGAAAATGCATCTGTAACTATATTGGATCTGTGTAGCTCTTAAAATGACAGCAGCCTAAAATGTCTGCTGCCATCTCTATAATAGCGTTGATCAAACAACAAAAGACAAAGAAAATTTACTCGCTGTTCTTGACTGGATAACTTTTGTAATGCCATTTGTAATGTACATTTTATTTATAAAGTCCAGTGCTATTTTGCATTTGATTAGTTTCTGTACCTAAATACCTGAATCTTAAAACACTATTTCAATCGTATATTTGATCTGTTGTAGTTATTTGTGCGATTACTAATTTTTTATGTGTCTTTTTTTTTATTGTTTACTTGTCTTTAATAATGCTTGAAATTTATATTAGTTTGGCTAGTTGTTTTTGCTATGGTACTTTAAAACCATAGTCAAAAGTTCCTTCTGTAAGTGTTCCTGTTGACTGTTGACATAGTATTCAGCTGCAATGAAATGTTTTGTAATAAGAGTTGAATGATATCTACTCTTTAAAAAAAAAAAAAAAAAAATCAAAATTAGGAATCGATAAGCAGAATCGGATTCATTAGTATTAAAAAGACCCCAACCCTAAAGCACACTAAAAAGCACTAATATGCACTAGTGATGTTGATAAATAATAGTTACCCGAGTCTGTGAGAGGAATCTGTGTCTCTGGACTTTCCTTTCTGCTGCTGTTGCTTTTTGCACTCAGGGAGGGACTCTAGACACACACAAACAGACTAGTTTGAGTGTGAAAACTTACACAAATTAACATGTTTATTGCTATATTTAAGTTATTTCAATAAGCAATCCTCTGGGAATTATTGTTTAGTGTTATGCATGTAAGAGAAAAGCGTTGAATCTACCGGTCAATGAAGGGAAGGACCTTCAGACCTGCCAATCCACACTTACCCTAGACTCTGTACTTTTGGATCCAGTACTAGCTCCATCGCTAGACGCAGAGAACGTTCCTTTTTCCTTCTCTTTCTTAGCACTCTTCCACACACTGAGACGCAGTTTCTCCAGTGTCCGCACTTGGTCTCTGAGGGATGCGTTCTCTGCACTCAAAGCGTCTACCTGCTGCCGAAGACGGCTCTGTGTGTTGCTCCAACGAGTCTCTCGTTTGCGCAGATCCTCTTGCAGCACGTTTAATTGCTGCTTTAGAGCCTGATACAGACATAAACCATCAAATTTAAAACGCATCAAACAATTCATTATAGTAACAATTAGTATATTGTCCAAATGATACTTTTTTTTTAAAAAGGCAATAAACAAACCGGACCTGGATCTCATCTCGTTCTTGTTTGTCAGGTCTTGCTCTTACGGTTGCAGCATGCTTTTCAAAAAGCTTCTTTTCACGCTGCAGTTTCTTATTTTCCTCCCTTTTAAACTCCTCCCACTTTGCAATTTCCTCCATCCTCTTCTTTTCAAATTCAGCCCTATCTTTCCTGTTTTGGAAAGTTATTCAAGTTTTCAGTTATATTTGTTTTAGGCATGATAAATAACTGCATATTCATATTGCCAAGGCATTTGCAATTTAGCTGTGAACAATATTGAAATATATTTACACATTTAGTATTTTGCGTATTTAAAGAAAGGTAAAGGGCCCTACTTGAGATTTTCTCTTGTTTCCTGGTTCTCCTGCTTTAGTTTGACCAGTGACGCATTCTCAGATTTGAACCTTTCAATCTCTGTTTCCAGCTCCACCAAACGCTCACGAAGAAGTCTTGATTGAGCTAAAAAAAAAAAAAAAAAAAAAAAAAATGTTTCAGGATTTAGTAGGATCATGCAAGTACTGTATGTAACCACTGCATTACATTACAATGTGCACATTCAGAAAAGAAGTTGAGATGTTTTTTTTTCCTGAAATGTAATCATGCATGTATTCTAGTTTACAACTCTGGGGTTAGTAATATGTTTAGTAAATAAATTAATACTTTTATTTATAAAGGATGCATTATATTGATCAAACTTGTCCAAATTTAATCAAACTATTTTGATAATAAGAAATGTTTCTTGAGCATGTTAGAATAATTTCTGGAGTATCATGTGACACTGAAGACATCAGAAGCTGTATGCAGACAGTCAAAACTTTACCGTTACCTGTTCCTTCTTCACTGGGCATGTTCTGTGGTTCCTGTGGAGTTACTGGAGGAGAAGGTTTATCCTTTAGCACTGGAAACAGCTTTGATACCAACTGGCATGTTGATGGAGCTTCTTTGTGATTTCCAACTGTATGTGGACTGCCACATACTGGTTTTACCCCCTTGGAGAAGGCAACCTTCCTTTTCAGCGCCTTCTCTGATAAGGATTCCTCTGCAGGACAGCAGGACTCATCCTCAGGTTCATTCCAGGTATCATCGTCATCAAACTCTAACTGGGCCCTTGATTCTACAAGAGTACAATCTCTATTGTCACTTAAATTCCCTTCATCCTCCTCTGGACTGCTGGCTCCGTCCCTGTCTTGATAGGTGCTTTTATCATAAGGCAGAGTGGTGGGCACTTGAAAGCAGTGGCTTATGGGTGGATTGGACACGTTGGGAAGGGGTTGCAAATCTGAGTTACTGCACAATTTGTTGTCATCCAACTTTTCATCGTTTTCCTTTTCAGAAAACTCTCTCATTAGTTCGTTCGGCCTTGTGCCAATGACATCTCTCTGTGTCGCTGGTACTGGAGGCACTGGAACACTATGACCCAACTTGGAGCCAGGAGCTACTGTGGGCCCTTGTGCAGATTGATAGGTTGATTTGATGGGTGTGGAGGAGAGACGTCTACGATCTTTGTGAAGGAGGGTGCTGATGAAGGATGAGTTGCTGGAAAAGGATATTTCATCTGCTGCTTTTTCTAGCAACTCAAACTCTCCGAGTTCGGCACATTCAAGCTGGTGATCTTGTTCCCAGCGCTCCCTCCGCTCCGTAAACCACACCTCAAATGAGTTTTCTGCAACACAGGCAGTATCCTCCACATGACTGCATGCTCTTCCTTGATTGTCGTTTGTTGTAGTGACACTGTTGATCTTCTGCTTGGATAAGGGATAAGGTTTTCGCTGGAACAGAGCTAAGTTGGAGCCCATGTTCTGACCCTGGTGTGCAACAAGAACATGAAGTTGAACTGGCATCTTGGTGACTGGTGCTGTTGTTTTATTCTGAGGAACATTTTCTTTGTTGAGCACAGCAGTCTTGCGTTGGATCACATGGTGTGCCGATTTTGAGCCTTCGTTTTTGTTTACTATGGACTTCTTCTTGGACTTCATGTCTAGGCCTTGGGAAACTTTAGGATTTGGGCACAAGGAGGGATTGGGGTTAGGTGGACTGTTACTGTGTGATTGTACAGTGGCTTTTCCCCGAGTAAACCTGGCCAGACCTTCTCCACGTTTAAGAAAGGGTCTCTTTACCTTCATACTTTCAGCTGGAGCATTCTACATGAGTAAATTTGAAAAACATGAGAAGATGAAACATGGATATAAAGATGAGATAAGGCCAATCCACATTACAGCACAGATGATAGTTATATACACTTAATAGTTGTAGCTTATCAAACTCTGGTCACATCTACTGAAAAACTGCTTATAAAGATAATGAGAAAAGCATTGTATTTATTACTGATTCCAAACATCATTGACATTATCTCTTCAGCTGCACACATCATTCTCATCATGAACGTTAATTTGTATGTTGTCTAAGGTTTGTACACTAAGCAACCTCGTGTTCTTCAACTGACCTTGCCCTTCAGTCTCTGGTCTTCCATCTTCAGCTGCTCTTCCAGTATTTCCTCAAATGTTTTCAAACCTGATTTGATAGGTCTAAAACAAAAACACAAATACCATGATAACCAGACTCAAAGCAATGCATTCCATCTTGCAGTATTGAAATGTACCTGTCCCGTGGGTCTGAGTTACACTCTTTTCTATATACAATTTGATCTTCTATCGTTGACTGAAAGGATTCTTCAGAATCAGGATCACTGTCATTATGTCCAGTGTTCAACTCCACCACACTTTGTTCCTGGTTCAACATACTGGTCTCTAGAGCAGCATATAGAGAAAGTTAGTCAAAGCTCATCCTGTCTTGATGGTTATCGACCATATAAAGTGAAGTTTAGACCAAACAGTACTATGTATATTTAAAGTGTGATGGAAAGCCTTAACAGCTTAGATGGCTCAGTTTTGTTGTTCAACCAAGGTTAAATGTACTAAATAAGAGCTCTTAGCATACAGGCGAATGACACATGCACCATAAATCATGAATACCTGCAGTATTCTGTGCTTTCCCCAGATGCCTTTGTGGTTCTTGCTGTAATCTAAACAGCTGTTCCTGCTGATGGGTTTTTAGCTGCTCCTGCATGTGATGTTGCATTTGCTTCAGCTGAATAAATAAAACAAGGCATTAAATAATTTACAAAACTAAACCTGAAACATTTTGAAACACTGTTCCTTTAAATGCTTTGACTAAGCAAAACATTTGAATTAATAATTCTAAATAATAATATAATAATTTATAAGTCTAATAATTTAGATTTATTTACATAAATGTGAAAAAAGTAAAATACCATCAAGCAATTCAAACAGATCATCCCTTTATCTCGACATAGGAGAAATTAACTAATTAAAATACCCAAGAAGAAAAGCAGGAGACAAATTTATTAAAGCAAAATCACATTGATTGTGGACCTTAACTCACCTGTTCAAGCTTAGCTATTAATGGGAGATCCCGTGTGTTTCTTAAAACATCTTGCATACTTTGCAGCTGACTGTTTAAAGATGTATCAGACAACTCTGTTTCCCCGAGTGTCTTGCTGCTTCCACCTGGACTGCACACATCCACGCTGGCACAGCTGCTGCTTCGGGAGATAGGCAGCGGGGCAAACTGGCAGCTAAAGGAGTCATCAGGATCCTGAACCACCAGACTGCCGCTACTCCGGACAGACCCAGAACCGGCTTCTACTGGGGAACAGTTTAATATCACCCCAGAGCGGGAGCTATCCGGGATCCACTGAGAGAGGAAGTGAAACTGCCCTTGCTGGAGTCCAGCTGGAGATGGCATCATGATGATGTTGGCCTGATTCAAACCCTAAAAAGGCGGGTTTCACAAATTCATATTTAAACTCATGTTAATTCCACTGAGTGCAAAAATTGACACAGAGAGAGGAGTATTTTATTTTTATGGCGTGGTTTCATAGGCCTTAGATTGAGTTAGGATTAAGCCTTTAGTTCAATTAGGAAATTTAAGTAGATTTATTTATTTATTTTTACAATTGCCTTAGAAAAGAAAATTACTGGTGTGCATCTTGTGACAAAACCATGACAATGGCGAATTTTAAGGTGTCAGTGCAAGTTGCTTTCAGTTAAAACAGCTCAAATGTGCATTTTAGTCTGGGACTAGGCTTAAACATTGTCTGTCAAGACAAGCTGTGCCAACCTTTGGTTAAATTGTGGTCAAAATACAATTTAATAATGCATAGGCCTAGTCCCATTTCATAGGAGAAATACTCTTACTATAACAACAACTGGGCATGACCAATTGTTAGAGTTGTGTTGTTACTGCATTAAAATCTCTCTATAGGTCTCTATTTCACACACCGATAACACACTCAATCAAACAATCTGTCTCTCAGTGCCTCTGAAGCTGCAATTGACGTAAATAGAAACTAGCGTAACGTACTGAAATAAACTGCCAGTGACGACCAAAAATCTTGTCTAGGCAACATATTTAAGTTGTAACACTGGTTCTGTTCAGCAATAATAAAACAGTATGTTGAGGCACAGAAAGATTGTAAACATTTTGTAATATACATCGATACAATATCATTTTAAAAATCGTTAAAGAGCTGTGAATGAATATTTCATACCTTGGTGTGGGTTGCCAAGGCGGGTATTTAAAGATTTCAGCAGTTGACGTCTGAACTTTGGTGAGTTTCGAACGATACCGCCATAACAAAGCAAAGCCCGCGAGACAGACGACTGAAAACGAAAGCACGGTGCATGATGGGAGCTGCAGTTTTCCTATGCTCCTCCCTCCGTCGTGTATTTCCCTGGTATTTCCGCCACCGAATATTAAGAATAATACAATTAAAAATGGAGGTCTAACTTTTCTAGATTTTAAAACATTAAATTAGTATTACACTTTTAAAATTAATTGGATGAAACACTTCTTAAAACGCCCCTCCTCAATTTGGAATTTTATCCCAAATCATAGCCTATATTCTCCCAGCCTGTAATCAACCTATATTCTCCCAGCTGGGTGGCCTACAGTTTCTTTCGTTATTTAGATAGCATTGAGAAATTACCTGCAAAGCTCTCTTCATTCCATAAACAAATGCTTCTGGCCTGGTCTCTTATTTATAAGTGACACAACTTTTCCCCACACTCATATTTTATATGGAACAATCATAGGCTAATATTCTTTACAAAAACAAGTCCTTATTTTTTCAAAACTGGTATGACAACAATATTAGCCTACTTTAGTATGTGATCTATTTAATAAAGATGGGGTTTTATATAAATATGGTGAATCCTTTCATGTCACGCGAATTTGCCATTGTTTTTCATTCTATTCCCACAGGTGTTATTTCTTGATCCTTGATTCTTGATCCCACTCAAACAATGGTGGGCAAGTTATGTTTAGTTTCATATTCTAGTGATAGGTCCATTCGTGCTCTCACAATTCCCACACCTCCCCCCTCTGAATTGCAAGTTTATCTCGCATCAACATCCATGACTACTTCATGATCAGGCTTCGATTGGTGGACAAAAACATCCACGAAGATGCATTCAAATATTAACAACGAGTAGCCTAGCCTATACAACCTCAAAAAATGAACCCCACAGCAACACCTTGGCAAATAACCGGCAACATGCATTGGTAAGCAGCATCACACACACATTTCTCTCAGAAAATGTTAAAAGGAATTTTGTATGCAGAATAGTTGTGCTATTACGATCATGAAACTTGCTCACAGTCTACAGCAGATTGTGTAACAGACAAATGTAAATATATCAATTTAGAACATAACGTTTTATTCAATAATCTCTATCTCTTATCTCTATATTTCTGCTGAAATACTGCTATGAAAAGTTTATTTCCTGCAAAGTTCTTAAATTCTTAATCTTGCTACCATGCAGGTGCAGATAGCACCAGCCTATTTGATGTGATTTTTTCACATCTGGAAGACGTATTTTAAAGAGTGTTTGCTCATCTGTCTATAGGACGTCTCCTGTCAGATGTCAAATAGACGTTTAGAAGATGTCAGTTTAACATGCATTCTAAATCATTACATCTTAAAGATATCTTCTAAACGTCTATTTGACATCTGACAGGAGACGTCCTATAGACGTATTGCAGATGAGCAAACACTCTTTTTCTTCTTAACCTTTATTTAACTAGGAAAGTCACATTGGGGTTAAAACCTCTTTTACAAAGTGGTTTAAATACGTCTTCCAGATGTAATCAAATAGACTTGTGCTATCTGGGTTGTGGTGTGCTGTAATAGCAGAAATGGTACAAGAGATGGCGCCAAAGTCCAAACAGCAGCATGTAATGCCATTCTGTGGGTGAGCATGCGTGTGAGGTTTCCACTGGTTATATTCATAGACTGTCTGACTGTGTATGTGTCATCAGAGAGCCCCTTCCCCCGTCTCTCTCTCTCTGTGATGCTGATGCTGAATTGCCCATCACTGAAGGACAGAGGGTGATATTCTTCTCATAACGTCCACTCTATCCGTCCTCCTTCCATCTGGAGTGAAGGATGGCGATGATCTGGATGGAGACAGAGAAGGCAGTCGTGCATGAGCTACAGCGCAGATTGAGCAATGTCTCTCACAGCATTGGTAAGAACTGTAGCCTAAATGAGTATGTTTGTCACTCAGCTTGTTTTTATTAAAGAGCTACTTGGTGAAATGCCTCTACACACTGAGTGGCTAATTAATTCCTTTGGTAATGTTTTTAAGTGGTAAGAATTAGGCCTGCTCACTTTTGGAATATTACAGCAGAACTGTTTACATCATAATTTTATCTGGGGCGACAAATTTTTTATCACTTCATGGTCGAAGTATTGGCCAAATCATAGCTGAGTTCATATTTGGAACAACAACACTCTTTCTTGTGTGATATTGTTTAATTAAAATATTTATCCTGACCTGTGAAACAATAGTTTATTAAATATATATATATATATATATATATATATTAATGGAACAGTTTATTGAAACTTTAGACTATATTAATGAAAACATGTTGTGTTTACATGTTGTGTTTTGTTTTGTATTTGATATACATCAAGCTTTTATGGCCCACACAGTGAGAATATGGAGCCTATACAGTCGAGGAGAAAAAAAACACCTATTTATTAATTTTTTTTTCAAAAGAGCAAAACTGAACAAAAATATCCAACTGGTGCATTCGTTGTTATTTTAATGGCCTAAAAGTATGAAATTCTGATCGCTTGTTATGTAAATCAATGAGATTTTTGTATATATCTTTGTATATTTTTAACAAAAAATATTTTTGATTAAATATAAAAATATATATAAATAATCAAGTAGGCCTAAATATAAGTTACTTCAGTCCATTAATGTTAATCTTGCAATGTTGGCATTAAAAAAATCATTATTATGCTTACTTTATAAGAATGTAAGATTTAATTTTTAAGATGATACTAGAAGGCCTTTTACTTGCCAAAAAAGTATGTACTATTAATCTGAGGGCAGAGGGCACATAGAAAAATTGTGTACAACAGGTTTTTCAGCAAAGTTTTGATCATTTTAGAGGCCATAGAAATCAATGTATCAAATATGATAGAGTAGTGATTCAGAACATATTCAGAAGCCCAATGCTGGAAGAGAATTCCAAAAACTGTTCTGTGAGATTCTTGCTGGGGGTGACTTGACCAAAGTGTGTGTGTGTGTGTGTGTGTGTGTGTGTGTGTTTGGCAGAGTTACTGCTGAGTACAAAAACAGATACCATAAAAACAGTTTTCCACAGTAACAGCACGGCTTGCTGCAGTAGTTAGTACACTACACAGGCTTTAGGTATGTATGTTGTTTAATTTTGGTGTTCTGAATATGAGTTCAGCTGAGGCTTTAACAATTGCAGTCAACTGTTTGAGTTTACTATGTACTGTAGTATCATAAAACATAGCTAAAAGAACACTGTGAGGTCTGGTATCAGACAGCAATAAGGGAAAGTTATGCTGAGGAAATCCAGGAAAAGGGATCCCAAACAAGGCAGTGGTTGTGAAGAGCTTCCTATGGTCCCGCTGGCACAAGGGCAGAGTGAGTGAAAGCATGCTAAAATTGGCAAAAATTCATCACTTTTTATATGTTCAAAATGTCTTTAGATGATTGTACAGAACATTACCTTTCAGAATATTAAATATTTAAAAATATTTTGAAAGAAGTATCTTATGCTTGCCAATGCTGTATTTAATTGATCAACAATATCTGTTTTCTATTTTAATATATTTTTAATAATATTTATCATAAAAGTAATCCTTTCTTTAAAAAGAAAATCTAACTGAACCTAAACTTTTGAACATTTTTCACTTGAAACTTTTTGGGGTCAAAAAAGTCAAATTTATTGAATTATTGTAGTTTTATTTATTACAAATGATATTAAAAAATGAGTTTGTGTAAAACCTTATGATCATGTTCTCCAGTATGATTTGAGAATGATGATTTGAGAAGAGCATCTTGAGCTTCAAGAATATCTAACTATCTGGACAAAGAGTTCACTTGATCAGTGTCAAAACTTTGCCAATTTGATAAGTAATCTATAGAAATAGTGCCAAATCTTAGACTTTAGCCTTTTTTTTTACATTTTTCATAATCCTACAACTTTGTTTATTTACAGGTTTCAATTAAGATTTAAAATACTATATTTTCAAAACAGCCTCTGATTTTTTGGACCCCATTTGGTATGTACTTCCTGGCTTTATGTTTCGTGTTTTGTTAATTGGACTTTTAGTTTGCATTTTACCCTGTTTCTGTTCCTGCTTCCTGTGTTCCATTTTTGTAGTCCTTTTGCAGTTTTTCTTGTTGATTAGTTCTGTGATCATATCCAGGTGTGCCCTGTTTGCCTATTAACCCTCTAGTATTTAAACCCCTCTGTTTCTTGTGTTCCTTGTCGAGTCTTGACTTACACAGAAGTATGTTTGGTGCTGCTCATTGGGTTCCCTGGTTCCACTACACTATCTCACGACCAATTCGTACGAATTCGTACGAGTGATTAAAAAGTGGCTAATTCGTTCTAATTCATACGACCTCACTCGTACGAATTCGTACGATTTGTCCAAACCCACGTGATGGGTAGATTTAGGGGCGGGGTCAGGGGTAGGTCATTCGTACGAATTCATACGAATTGGCCAATTCGTAAAATATGTACGATTTAGCAAAAACATACTTATTCGTACGAGTGATGTCTGTATTGGAGCAACATTTTTGCCCTAAGAGACTCCTAAGGAAAGTGTGTATTTACAGTTGTATGTGTCTGAAAGAGAGAGGTTTACCAGTGATAGATTGATTTACCAAACTTAAAAGACTGGTTTCTACTTTTAAATGTTATCTGTTGGTTTGTACTGAATAACTTGGTTTGAATTCAGCTTTTATCTTTCCCTCCTCAGCAAGATCAGATGGCACTCTGAGATTCCTCTTATTCTGTTGAGAAACCAACCAAACACAGACACACACAGGCTCTCATTCATCCACCAATCTGATGGGGGAAGGGGCTCCTGGGGTGGGGCAGGAGATTTTTTTGGGGGGTGATTGTGCCGACATAGACTGACATAGAGAGAGTGTAAACAATGGAAGTACAGTGCTTTACACTCAGTGATCCGTCACTGTTATCAGTTATAAAAATGTTGCAGGTGAAAGGAACTTGTGTATGTGTGTCAGGAGACCAGTTATTTCCAGGAAGTCTGGAAATGAGGAGAGAGAGAGAGAGAGAGAGAGAGA